GTTAACAGTACAGGAGGGAGTGGAAATCATCTGGCATCCAACTAGTAAGCATTGAACTGAAATGTGGCCATGAATATGATCAACAGTAAGCATTCTGTAGTGGATCAATATAAAATGTTGCTGCTGCACTAGCTCGAACTCCTTAAATCTCTTGGTTATCTGGACCATCTTAATTATTTAAGGAGAAGCTCACCTAGCAGAAATGTGAGCCATTTCTGCCAGATTAATATTGGGTCAGCAAATCAACCCAAGGGTCAGAGGAGTGCCAGAAGCAGTGCAATGGAAGATGGAGATGAGGGGGATCATCACTTTTGATAGAATAGGCTTTTTCGGTTGCTTTGTCTGACTTGCTTCAGTTTGCACGCTCTAATGAACAGATGGAGGTTTTGCTAGCAAAATTGCAGTCTAAAGTGGTGAACGAAAGAGCTTGCTTGTCACTTGTGCAAGGTAGTAGATGTGTAAATACTCAAACTTTCAGTAAATCTTTACACTTGCGTTAAGAAACTACAGGCCTTGGTAAGCTGTACTTTTACCACTTGAAGTCTGGAGAGCACAACTTTCTCAAAAGTAGGTAAAGGGTTTCTGAAATCTTTCGCCACTGCAGCTTGACTCCTGACAGGCTTTCCTGTAGCGAGTGTATTAATAAACAGAGTATCTGCTAACAGTTAGGAAGGGGATAGTACAGAAAATGTTAATCTGTGTGAGAAGGGTAAGCTGTTGTAGTAGACAAGAAGTGTATTGATTTTACCAGAGCAGGTTTTACTGTGTTTCTCTGTCTGTAACAAGATCTTTGGCTATGTGAACTGCCTTTTGGAAGGTGTTCAGGCAACAGATTCTTGTCCTTAATGTAAACTTCTGTTACAACACAAACAAACAACTTTGTGCTAGTGCTACAGAAGAATAAGATTTCAATATTAAAATAAACTTACCTCAGGATAGGCGCTGTGCAGCTGAGCTCTTAGTGAGGTTTCTTGCTCTTGCTTGCTTCACTGCTCTAAGTCTTGTTTTTGGCATTAAGCCTTTTCCACCCCTAGCAAAGTACTTTGAAATTCTTGTTTAGAAGATGATCTGTCCCTGGAAGTGTGCTGCCTCGGCTTCTGGACAAAGCAGTATAATCAAATCTAATTTCCACCTCTTTCTTTTGCCTTCTTGTCCATCACTGCTATCACACAAAGAATCTGGAGAGCTTCCCAAAATAAAGTGCATATGGATCAGTAAATCAGTAAAACCTTTTTCTTCCAACCATTGTCACTCATCCTTCAGTTTTAGTTTATTTTCTGGTTCAGTTTATTCAGCTCGGGCTGCATTTATGCTTCTGGTACGTAATTGATGTATCATTAGGTATCTGTACTATGCTGGTAGGTTGATCACTATGAATTTGCAAAGGTGGTTAGTTTAAAATTAGAAGGATTGCTTAGTATTTCCATAGAAGTGTCTGGGCCCTCTCAAGTATACAGAAGCCGTGATTTCTGGTTTGTGTGGAAGACTGATTCCGGGCATTGCTATGCATGTGTGGCAGAAGAATGACAGCTGACAATTACTCATTCCAAGAGATTGAGGGGTTTTGTTTCAAAATCAAATATTTCCAAATGCTCTAAAGACTTGCTTCTTTTAAGAGCATTCTCAACTTCTGATTAAGTTAGACAGTGCAAAAAAGCATCTGAAATGTTACCCAACTAGAAATCCTCCTAAGCACCAACGTGGAAGGTACAAAGGCAAAAAGGATTCCACAAGTACTTGCTTCAGGTTCTACCCTACTGCATTAAAAAAGTGTTGTTCTGGGTTCCAGTTTAATGTAAGTTGTCAGGCAAGTGGGATTATTTACCCATTGTTTTCTCCAGTTTTAAAATACTGATTCGGTGGCCAGAATTTAGAAATAGTTGAAAAGAGGTCCTAAAGCATATGCTTGCTTATGTTATGTTCCAGAAGTATTTTTGCATTTCTGATACGGTCAGCCAAAGGAGAGAAAACATGGAAATCATAAGATACAAAGGAGCTCGTCCCATTGGAAACCTTGCAACGATAAGCCCTCTGAACAGAGAAGTGGTATCGTTTTCTTCAGTTGTTGTCTGAAGAATCAAAGGTCAATAGACTCCTTCAGACTTCCAGATGAAAACTGGCGTTGGTGTTGCACTCCAGCTATGTTTCCAGCTTTCCAAAAAGTGCAGTTTGCTGTTCTTTCTAATGGCACATGGGGGGAAGGAGTTGAGAGAGGACAGATGTTCCAGAACAGACCTCATTTTTCTTCCTTACCAAGAAAAGGACTAAGAAGCTGAGCTTTAGCTTTTTCCTTGAATGCTAATTTTGCAGCTTAATGGCAGGAAGGAGATAGTAAAATCAATTCCATTTTCTGGCAGTAATCTGGACTGTATATATATGATATGAATTCTTTTTATCACTAAAAAGCTCACTAATGATTTGTTTGTAGGCACGTTGCCAAAATGCAAAGATTTTGGACTAGTTCATAAATAGCTGTGCTCTTCGAGCTTTACAGTCTGTTCAAATTAAACCTTCCCATCATTCTAGAAATGTGAGTATGTGGAGAGGGGGAAATGAACATTTTTTTGGCTTTGAGTCACTGGACAGACTGCAATGAATACAGGCTTTGATTCAGTAAGGGAATGGACCTTTTTTCCTTTAGTCCACCCGGATTACCAACTTGATCTCTCCGTTCCAGCTGGTCATTGTGTGGTGCCGGGGCAGAGACTATTAGGGCAGCTGAAGCCATAGCAGTGCTTCTTGTAGCAAGTGCATTGGGACGTGGATACCAGCCTTGCTTTTCTATAAGGGATTTTCTTGGAACCTGAAGATTTCTTTGATTTGTAAGATTACACAGGTTATCATAATGAACATCTAATCCAGACCTTGAGTAAATTATTTATGATATTGAAACTGAGAACCCTAACAGAAGAGATCCATCAGCAGAGAAGGCCAGTAAAACTGGTGGTGTGGGAAATACATCTTAGAGTCAGAATGAAACCAAATTTGTTTTTTAATAATATGCTATCTAGCCTAACAGGACTTGTGCCTATTTTAGAAGGGTATTAAATATAATTGCATCCGTATTGCCTGATGGCTTTCTCACTAGAATTAATGGGATAAGCTAGGCAGTGGGAGTGTATCTACTGCTGCTTTATACTGCTCTAGGATTTGCCTAAAGCTGATCAATATTTATATCAATCTTTTGATATAAGATAAGAATTGTATGATATAAAATTGTCCAGACTTGCTCAGAGGTGGGATTGGCTGGAATGATAAATGAAGGTAAGTAGATAGTAAAAGTAATGTGGTTTTATGTGCAAAGATTCGCTCAGTCAGTTGAGTTGCTCTAATGTGGACAAATGGAGAAGTCATACAGAGCATACAAAGGACGTATACTATGTATTGTATAGTAGAGATCCGTGTTCTGGATAAGCAAAACTGCATCAAGAATGATGTGGTTGGGGGACCTCTTTGAAAGATGAAGCTTCAGTGGCTGCTGCATTGCTCGTGACCCTGTGCTGGTGGGGTTATGAGCAAGTAATAGCATGTTATTCCTCCCTCTGGGGGTGGGGGAGAAATAAAATTGAAGACTCTCCATAGCTTTCTGTAGGTTTAAAGAAGTCTTCTTTCATTTATTAAAAAATGAAAATTTTAAGAGGCTTATTCAGTTTGCTTGTTGGTGGAAATATAAGACGTTACTCTAAGGAGAGTCTTACTCTAAGTGTAACGTGTGACAAATGCACAGCAAGATCTTCTCTTCACTCAAAACTCAGGGTGCTGACTTCAATGTTACTGGTAATAATTAATGAATTGGTTATGTGAGGTTATATGCTTGATTTCCAGTCACTTTAGACTGCATTATTGATAACGAAATGTTAATCTTGATAAGGGACCAGGAGGGAAAATGAGTGTTTACCTTGTGGTATAGGGGAAGCCAGTCTCCATAAGGGTTGTGGGGCTTTTTTGGCTTGATCATAAGATGTGGCGGCTTTCTACGTCAAGCCTGAAGTGTACAAAAGGCTCATTCTCTCTTTTCTGGCTTTCCTTGTTTACCTTGGAAGCTGGAGCCTTGAATGGAATCTTTGATGGGCTGTGAGCATTGATGAGCAAACAAGAGCGTAGGACTATTCTGTCCCCACCCAAAAAAAAGAAAACTATAGTGCATCTGATGTTGTGGCAAGGCAACATAGGGTAGAAAATTACTATACTAAATAACTCTTTCCTGTATAGTTATTAGTAATGTGGATCAACTGACTTGGTGGCTTTGTTTGCACAATTCTCTTGGTATGATCTCCAGAAGTCCCTTCCTTCAACCTCAACTGTTCTGTGATAATGGATGTTGGGTATTTCTCTTTAATTTTGCTTAAAACTTGGATGTCTGTACGCAGTAAATGCAGTAAACTGCGTTTACTTGAGAACTTGCCTTTGCCTAACTGGCAGAAGTAGCTTAGTAGTTTCTAGAATAGCTTGAATTTCAGACAAACGAGTGAATGTCCATTGCTGGATTACGAGCTGAGCAGAAGTTTCAGTTAAACACAATAGATCTTCAGATTCAAACTAAAAATTGAAGTAAAAGCATTTATAGCAAGGTAAATGGATTCCTTGCCTTGCCTTGCTTTTATTATCTTAAAATGCCAGATATGTTATAGTGGTATTAAGGCAGATGTAGCGGCATTGAAACATAAAATAGGTAGTAAGCCTTCCCTAGGGGTGGGTTAGACGGCAAGCCTCAGGCTCCATATCTGGGCTTTAATGAAGCATAACTTAGAGGAACATATACTTTCACCAGGTTTGGAAGAAAGCAGTATAAAATGGATCAGGCATGTGAGTTGTTCTCAGATATATGAAAATGCAATCTTGTTTTTTTGGCTGGTTATTTTGAATTCCTTCCTCAGTGGAGGACAAGGAAACAAAACTTCTTTATTTGCCAACACCTTTAGCAATCATAGTTCTGTATGGAAAACAACATCTTTCTCTGTTTGTTTTCCTAAAAGCATTTTCTTTTTTTCTCTCCCCAGAGTTCTGAGGATAATAACCACAATGATGAGTCACCTCAAGAAGAAGAAGGATTTATGGGTATGTCACCTCTTCTACAAGCCCATCATGCTATGGAGAGAATGGAAGAATTCGTGTGTAAGGTAAGGGCCTGTGGAAACTGCCAAGGTAATTTCCTTGTTCAGGAACTTCCAGTGGACAACAGACTATGTGTGCAACAACAGTGCTAATGTGAGAGAGAGCAGGTACACACCATCCCTGAATGGGCATCTCTCGTTATAACTAGTAGCATTGCAACTTCCCTTGATCTCAGTCTATCATAAATGAATAAATTGGAAAGCATGGAACAATAGGGGTTATAAAAGAGACTCTAAAGCTGATCGTGCAACTGAGGAGCCTCTCTTGAGAAACACCTGTGAGTGCAAAGCAGAATAAAAGCCTTCTGCTTCCAGTGTTTCTGGTTCAAGGCACTTTCATTTACAAGGTCATTTTTTTCCAGGCTTCTTTAGACTTGCAAATATTTTGCTTTCCTGGCACCATTTGCATCCATTGTAGAATAAGCTTTGTCCCTGACTCGAATAGAAAATGAGGATGTATTAAAACTATATATGTCAATCCATTGTAGATTTTGTAATTACTGACCTTGGCTCAAGTTTTGTTACTTTTTAAAGCTACGGGGTGTGTTCTATATCAGTCCTTGGACCTCCTTTCTTGGTAAAGGAGGTGCTATCCCTTTATATGCTTATTCCTACTGGTTTTATGAACTACTTTAATATTTTTACAGAGGGAACCAAGTTACTTGTGGTGTGTTTTTTGTCTGCTATGCATCTTTTTTCCTTTTTAGATGCTTTGTAGGGTGGATTGTGTAAAAATAATTTTCTCCTGTTGTTCCTACCTCAATTGAAATCCTTGTTTTATGAAGTAAACCAGTTATTTTTTCTTGCTGAATGTATTTAAGCACCTAGTCTGTAACTGGGACGGTTATTCTAAGTATTTTAGTCTTGCTTTTGCGAAGGAGTGAAGAGAATGGACTTAAAAACTCTAGGCTCTTGATGTTGAAACTGAAATAAGAATGTAGTTTTTTCAAACTTAGTGTTGCAGGATTCTTCAGGCTCCTTCCTGTATTACTAGCCAGACGCCAAATCCAACGAACACTGCAGAAACAACCCCGGTACATAAAGCACTTCCCCGATACCCCTCTGCTTGGTGGTGCTGCTTCTGAAGCCAAACTGAAGACTACATGTATCTTAAGCCACTGAAGCAGCGCTAACAGCCATGCACACTTTGTTCATTTGGAACCAGCTACAAGAATAGATGTGTGCATTTACATTATCTCTTCCTTTAAAGAAGATATCTGATGGAATTGAGTCATGGATCTTTTGCCCTAACTGACCTGTCACTATTTGTTCTGGGAGTGTGGGAGAACTTTTTTTCCAACTTGGACAGGGGTTTGGACACTTCTTGCTGGGCTCTTGCCACTTCATGTGTTCTGCCCTATATTAGCGTTGACGAGTAGCCTTTTTACTAGACTGCCCCCAAAAGCCAGCAGATACACAGTCAGGTTGTCTTATGGTTCACAGGACAGGTTTTCACTTGTATTTATTTTTTGGAGAGAGCTACGTGTAGGCTTCTTCAATTAAACGGAGAGGTTGATATGTGAAAATCTGCTTCATAACAGAACATGGAAATAAATTAAATGCTTTCCCTTCATTAGTAGTAAAAAAAAAAAAAAAAAAAGCCCAATAGATTTCTCCTCCGAAGTACTGCAGTGCTTCTCTTTCTGGTGGTGCAGCTCAACTTCATGGTACTGTTTTCAATAGGGAAGTGTGACTGAACAGTTCTGTTTCAAGAGTAAAGCCTCTTCCCCAGAGACATCCCATCAGACCCTTTTCAGTTTATTGCACTCCTACATTAACTCTAACACTTCTACTAATACGGGTTTTCTGACTTTTGCCTTATTTGAACTCAGTTTCCTGTATTTAATCAAAACCTTCCCTCCTCTAGGTATGGGAGGGCCGATGGAGAGTCATTCCCCATGATGTTCTACCTGACTGGCTGAAGGACAACGACTACCTGTTGCATGGACACAGACCACCCATGCCTTCCTTCCGGGCTTGTTTCAAGAGTATCTTCAGAATACATACAGAGACTGGTAACATCTGGACACATCTTCTAGGTACTGTCGATTTGCCTTCTTGCTTTGAGAGCAAGATAGAAGGGGGTGTGGGGTGGTCAGCATTATCATTCCATTAGGAACCTGTTAAATTAGCTTGGTGTCCCTCTCCTTATTTTCTTCCACCAAGGCTGGATGGAGTTTGTTAATGCATTCATTTGTATTGAATGCCATATTTAAGGAATTTCCTGATCACTAAAAGATTACCAGTAGATGCTCTTTATTTCCAAGTGTGTAAGTGTTAACTGAGATCATTCTTGCCACGAGAAAACACTTGCATTGCCGCTTGTATGAGTGGTTTTCAGCTTGCAAGGAGCCTTGAAGGGAAAGGATTTCTTCAAACTATACCATTCTCATTATGCAGCAGACTTTTTTTGTTGTTTGAGAATGCACAGCCAGTTGTCAGGCATCTTGCAAAACGAGTGAAAATACAGAGTCCATGCAAGTCTATATGGCTTCAGTTTGAGACAGATGTGGTTGGAATACATAACTGAAGTATGGAGGAACTTTATTCTACATGTATGCTACTGGTTGTCATGTAGTTCCCCTGCTTTGCACTCCTGTACGTTAAAGTCATGATTTTTGAAAGAAAAGCTCTCAGTATGCACGAACTTGACACCTTTCTGCCGTATGTTTTTTCAGGATGTGTGTTCTTCCTGTGTCTGGGAATATTCTACATGTTCCGGCCAAACATGTCCTTTGTAGCACCTGTGCAGGAGAAAGTGGTTGTTGGATTGTTCTTCTTGGGAGCCATACTCTGCCTCTCCTTCTCATGGCTCTTCCACACAGTTTATTGCCACTCAGAAGGTGTTTCCCGGCTCTTCTCCAAGTAAGTGCCTAGAGGACAGAGCGAGCCAAATAGGAAACAGTTGGGAAAACAGGGCTGGAATTTATGCCTGGCTCCCCAGTGTAGGAGTGGTTCACTGCATGACTGCTCTGAAAATTTTGGAACAGAATTGAGCAGAGATTCACTGCAGTTTCTTCTAATAGTTCTTTGTTTCAGCATGGGGTTTTTTATGCTGTCTCTTTAGTCTTAAAACTGTTTCCTTTTCTACTGTTCAGCAGGTGTGCGCATGCATCTTGCTGCTGTAAGTAATACACCCAGAGCTTAGTTGTAGGACTTCAAGTTTTTAATGCAACTATCACTGCTTGTCCCTTCAATTATTCTGGGTACCTCTGAATCTTAAACTTTCTTCTGTAAGACAGCTCTGATAAGTATCGAGGTATCTTGGTCTTTTGGTTTTACTCCACATTCTTCTGTTGGGTAGCTGCTAAGGATCTCTTATTTCTTAAGATTACTCAACGTGGGATTATGTAATCTGCAGGACCACCTCTAAAGTAACCCGGCAATTAAAATCCCATACTACAGAATTAACCCAATCTTCTCTTCTATGAGCATTTTATCGGGGTTTGGTAATAAGCAGTGGCTGTGGGAATTCCTTTCTTCATTGGTCCCTAGAAAAGCAGCTTGTTTGAGAAATTGTGACATTATTCCCCAGTGGTCACTTAAGCTGATGCCTAACAAACCCTCACTTGTCAGATTCTAAAGAGTTTGTGTTGGCTGTGCTCTCACAAAGTACTGTGCCCTTCTTTGTGTTCAGAGCATTTTGTGCTGCTTTTTTTCCTCACCCAAAGCTTAAATCTTGAGTTTCCTTCAAAAGGCCTTGATCTAAAACCTGCTGCATGTATTTCTGATGGCTGCTCAAAACTGACCTTACGTGCTCTCGAGATGATACATTGCTGTAGGAGGGCACTGGTGGAGGAGCTGCAGTCAGGAAGTTAGTTTGCAGTAGTGAGAAAAACTTGCTTTCGTGGTGAGTAGCAGTCTGTTGGTCTGCTAGAAAGAGTGTTAGTACGGGAACTTCGAAAGGCTTACGTTTCCTGTCAAACTGATTTTTGTTTCCTTCTAGGCTGGACTACTCTGGCATTGCACTTCTCATAATGGGCAGCTTTGTACCATGGCTGTATTACTCCTTCTACTGCAACCCGCAGCCTTGCTTCATCTACTTGATTGTGATTTGTGTCCTGGGCATCGCAGCCATAATTGTCTCACAATGGGACATGTTTGCGACCCCTCAATACCGGGGTGTAAGGGCAGGTAAGACCTGAAGTTAATTGTTTTGCTTCTAGTCTGCCTTCTTTCCTTGCTTTCTACTTGTCACTGCAAAAAAAAAAAAAAAAAAAAGTCTTCTCAGGACTTAGAGCTTGATTTTAGAGACAGATAATATTCTCCGATTGGGAACTTGATGGGTTTTCTCAGTGTTGCTTATAGCCAGCTGGATGCACAGATAAGGGCTGGTGCGAGTCCTGGAAGTGCATTCCTGAAATGGACAGTAACACGCAGTGAGGAAGGGAGGAGTACGAAGCATTTCTAGCAACTTTGCTCTCAAAAAATGGTTGACTGCTTGGTGTGTGTATGTGTATATTCCTTCTGCTATTTGTTTTGTTTCAACACCAAGCTCTGACACTAGTAAATCATTCAATGATTTCTATTAATCTGAATAATTTGCCTAGATAAAATAATTATTTAGGACCAAAAGCCTAGTTTTTCTTGTCATGGGATAGAAGGAATGAAAACAAATTTGTTTTCATGTTCTGGGGTAGAGAGTAAGAGAAAGCTGCCATGGGCAGTTACGGAATATGAATACAGCTGGTTTGAATAGAAATAGTTCTTGTTGCTTAATCTGAGTGTCAGTAAATACAGTTTTCTTGGACAAACTATTGGTGTACCTTCAGCGAGTTCAGCCTTCTATACTTCAAATAATCAGTGGGTGATGGGTCATGATTATTTTCCTCCCTATTCCCCTTCCCAACATTTTTTCACCAAGGTTTCTGTACTAGCTGATGAAATCTGAGTAAACAACATTCTCCTATATGGCAGGCGAGGCTCATGTGATGTTTTTCTGTTTACTGGGATCGTTTGCACAGAATATGATAAATAATGTCTTTGTTTCTCCTTGTTGTCCTGCTCTTGATTTGCTAAAGTGTGACATAATTCATGTAGTCTCAGTGCCCTCTACAGTCCCAGCTGTGTAACTGGTGTAATATATGTTAAAGCTGGCAGACACGATCATTAAATGAAAAATTTTAATATCTGCTGGAACACTTAATTAAGTAGCTTCTGGTATATGAAGGAAATCTGTGCATTCTTTAACTTCCCTCTGTTAAAGCTACCTCAGGGACCTCCAGCTTCAAGAGTTGTCACCTTTCTTCTGCTTTGGCCAATACTGAGTTTTCCTTCCACTGCTTTTTTTTTTTTTTTTTTTGTCTCCCTTCACTGCCAGTGTGTTCAAAGCTGACTCTCCCACATTTTCTTTACCTCCCAGGAGTATTTCTAGGTCTGGGTCTTAGTGGGGTTATTCCCACCCTGCACTTTGTCATCTCTGAGGGGCTCCTGAAAGCAGCCACTATGGGGCAGATAGGCTGGCTGGCACTCATGGCATGCCTGTACATCACTGGTGCTGCACTCTATGCTGCCCGCATCCCGGAGAGATTCTTCCCTGGCAAGTGTGACATCTGGGTGAGTCTACGGAATGACTGGATGAGGAGACCAATGTGAAAGCTGGTTCCCCTTGAGGCTGGAGGATGTTGTATCAATGGTGTTTTTTTATTATTGCAAGTACTAAACCACTGCACCAGGCACACAGATCTTAAGGGGCCAAACAACTGCGGGCTCTCTGAGCCCAGCCTACCTAGTGCCTCTCGTGTGGAGTTATCACAGCTCTGAGTTAACTGATGCCATACAAGTTCAGCCCAGCACATGTGCTAGATAGCTTTAATAGATGGGTGAGACACTTCACAAGCCTTTTTGTTTCTTTCATATCTTCACCATGTCTGGCTTCTCATTTTGTGAGGCCAGGGGAAACACTGGATAGAACCGATAAAACTTTGGCCCAGAAGAAAGAAAGGTGGTGTGGGTAGGGAGGAAAAGCTGGGAGGAGGGCTAGGGTCATGAAGACTGTGTTGTAGATATCTGTGGGAAAGGTGCAAAGAAAAAAATTGAATGGAGCATGAACAGAGATTAGAGGGAGGCAGACCTATGGGGAGAGATGTCAGGCAACTGTGCTTCCATTAAAATAGTTTAAGGCCCTTAAAGATGATCAGAAATGAGAGTAAGGCCTGGGTTGTTAGCAACTTCTGCATGGCCCCAGTTTGCTAGGTGTAAACATCGGTGACGTATAATTTAAATGGCCAAACTAAACCTTCTTACAATAGGAAGATATGATCCAGGAGCACTGGTGTACCACCAGCTCTTTTCCAAGCTTCCCATGGAGCCTACAAATACACATTTATGGAAATTTTTGGAGCATTACCCATATTGGTATAGCTTCCCTAGAACAAGGCTGTGCTTTGTCAAGTAGCCCCTTCATGGTTTTCATTCTGCTCTATTATAATCAGTAGCATCCTGGGCATTCATTGAGAACATCTGGTTGTTTCTATGTTTTCACATAATACCATTTTTTTTCTGCTCTGTTTCTTTGTGGCAGAGAAGTAAAATAATGTTCTGAAAATCTAGGTGGTAGAACTTATACCTGTGACCAGAGCAGAGTTTGTATGCGTTAGCTGTATGAGGTAGCCCTTGTTATCAACAACGAGCCAGTGTTGTTGAGGAACTAATTAACATGTTATTTTTAAGACTTTTGCCCAAAGCTTTGAAGTTATTGCTGTCCCTTGATAAAGATATGCTGTAGCCTTTATGTAGTGTATGTGCTGATTGATCAGCTGATTCAGATGACTGAAGGAAAAGGGCGTGGGGATGTGCGTGTGGAGAACTTGATCCTTCCTCTAATGGTAGGAGAGGGCTGGGCTTAACACACACCTTACTTCTGCAGCTTGTGGTTTGAGGTACTGCTACGTGTTACTGTGTACTTCAGCTGAATGTATGGCTTTTTTGGAGATGGGATAGCCCCCAGTTACTCAAAGTCCCCTGGCTGATCACAAGTGTTTTGTCTTTCACAGTTCCACTCCCATCAGCTGTTCCACGTCTTTGTAGTGGCTGGCGCCTTTGTGCATTTCCACGGGGTGTCGAACCTCCAGGAGTTCCGTTTCACGGTGGGAGGAGGCTGCACAGAAGAGGAGGGGATGCAGTAACACCAGGCTTCAGCCCAAGGTCGTAACCAAAACAGCACCGCACGCGCGGTTGAAGCATACAGGCTAGTGAAATGAATACCTAAGAAGAATCCAAGTTTCAGCTGATGGAGCACAGAGCTTCATGGGGATTCTGACTAATCAAGATAAATTCTATACCTCAAGCAATGGAATGAATCAATTTGAAGACCAGGAAATTCTGAAACCCTAATTTATTCTTGGGATCTACAGATTGAGCTACAGAGGACCCTTTCCAAATCGGCTTCTGTTCAATGCCATATTTATTTGTAGAAGTGGGGAGGGATAGCTTAGCAGTTTCCTTTTTTTTTTTTTTAAAAAAAAAAAAATCGAGGTTAAATTTATATCCTCTTGGAGGGTTTGGGAGTTGATTTTAGATGCTCTTTTGGGAGAAAAGCAAATTGTAAATAAGATTTCTAACTTTCTGTTTAAATAAATTTATATAAATGTTTTAAACAATGGGTGGGGGGAAAAGGGTTTTTGTAAAGAATGCAACATGCAAGTACCACACACTGTTTCAATTTTGCACAAAATGAATGATTGCAGGAGGACCAGGTAAAATTCCCAGGAGTGAAGCATGTTGGCCCTGCGTTTTTGCCTGGTGGCCAGCGTGCCCTAGGCATGCCCCTGGGCAGCGTGGGGTCCTGGCCAGCACTTGGAGTAGGCTCAGTACACGTACGCGAGGGTTGTGAAGGCTGGATCAGTCGTGTTGTTGTTTGGGTCACAGCGTTAGCCAGTTCTACTCGAGTAACTTGAAAGATCCATCTGTGCTCTGCTTAACTGTGTGGGACAACTGCCTTCCAAGCTTGCTCGGCCAATATAGTTTTGGATCTTACAGTAAGCTGTTTTGGTTCTCATCATCCGAATCGCAGCGTGATGGGATAACTGCACGTGGGACGGCGAAAGGTCCGACTCCATCAGTGCCTGCCTATACCCAAAGGCCCCTGCTGAGTAGATGGCTGCCGTCTGAGTGAGTCCTGCCCTGTTTTGTCTGAACAACCGATGGTAACGCACTTGTCAAAAGATAGTTGAGCATGTGAGGGGAAACAGAGATGGGGTTAAGATTGACTGGAAAGAGGAAGCTGTGCGCTCCAAGGCTTGGAGTGAACAGTTACTGCAGACCTCAAGCACATTACCTTCTCATGTGTCAGGCTCCATATGCCAAGGAAGTTTTTGCAGGTTTTTCTTCTTAGGAGGAAAAATCCACAATCGGCCCAATGCAGTTCCATTTTTTTCCTTAGGTCTGCTTCCCATCTGCACCTTAGCAATGGGACTGCTGGTATTTCTTAAACCCGAAACGAAGAGTTCAGTTGGATTGCTGTGGAGCAGACACACCTCCTATATAAGGGGAGGTGTATGCCCTGCTCTTGCTTAATTGATGTAGCTTGATCTTTGGAGCCTAGTCAGAAGCCGGGCTGAAGGAGAATCTTTGGAGTTGTAAGATGAAACTTGAACGTTTTGTTTGTCATGGCACAGGTATTGCTTGGAGCGTTTAGTTGGAAATTCGGAGCAATTACCTCTCGTGATGAGTTAAACAGCTCATAAAATGCTGTAGTTCACAAAGAAGGGAGGTAAAAGGGTGTTTGTTTTTTTTTTTTAATAAAATGCAAATTTGAGTTTTTTTGTCTTTCAAGGGGAAAAAATGTAGATTGCAAAGATCTTTTAGTATGCTGGGTGTTACTGAGTGTTTCGGGGAGTTGCTCTGCCTAATGGAGTCAAGTAGAAGCAGAATGCCTTCGTGAAGTTGACTGGTGGATATTAAGGCTTCACCCCTCGACTGGGGTCTTTGTAAAGCCTCTGAGAGCAAGGTCGGCTGCAGGAAGAGCTGCTGCAGCAGAGTCTGTGAGCTTAGAGGGACGTGTTCTCAGTAGGATCGCTACTCTGGATGCCAGTAGGGCCAGAAGCAGCTTATCACAGGTCGGTGTGGTACAAAGGTGAACTAAAGAGCAGTATTAGCTGGATGTAAGGGCTAGCAGCACTGGCGTCCCTGACAAAGGCGTGGGGCTGCCTGGCAGGAAGCAGGCTGGTGCCTGAGGGAAGCAGGGTATGGAAGCATATCCGAATCAGAGCTGTCCGTACGGCTTTGGGATACCTCTGTAACAGTACCAGCAGAAGCGGCCGTCTCCATCCCGGCTCATCCCACGTTCACTCCCTGAAGGGTGATTGTAACCTGGTCCTACACAGCACAGAACTACTACAGAAACACAGTACTCCACCTGCTATTCTGAACCCAGTCAGTCTCTCCCTTCAAGAAGTTTGTGTGTTCCAATAAAAGCAACCTAGCTGTGCACTTTTCTGTAGCTCTTGCTGAGAACTCTTCCCAGGTTGGCACCTGAATGCCTTACTCTCAGCAGTCAGAGGCTTGCTTGCTCTGTGTGCAGGTTATTGCCATAGAATAGTTAGGACCTACAGCTTCTTTCCTTCCCCATTAAATAGTGGCCTTGTTCAGTATATTTCTTTTTAAAAATTGCTTACTGTTGAAAGCAATGAAGCACATTCTGGGGTTTTGATGGTTGGGGACTCCGGTGATGGTTCCATGTAAGATGGGATCTTATTACTTGCTGTATTCTTAACTTCGCTAATAAAAGAACCAAATGGAGCACTGTCTAGCTGGGGTTTTTCTTCGCTGTGTGTGAAGCTTGAAGGAGTTGTGCTGGCTTCCTTTCCTCCCGCTGTTCACAGGTAAAAGTCCAGAAACCAAACTGGTGCCTAAGGGCTTGTTCACATAGCGTTGAGCTGATGCTCGCTGTCTGACAAGGATGTCTGTGGGCCACGCTGCCTTTTGGTTGCAGTGCTAATTGGCAGAGAAGCAGGATTTTTGTCTAGTTTAGGCTCTCACTTCGTGCTCTCTGGAGTCACCAGCTCTAGTACAGTGCTGGCAGTGGCACGGGGGAGGGAGGTGTTACTGGGTGGGCCTGGTGCCACCATCTCATCAAGCTGCTCGGCGCTGTCAGATATCCCCTGGCACACAGCTCTTCTGAACTTCCCCAGGGAAATAGCCTGGGGCACTGTTTCTCATGTGAGCTTGTGAGGAGGAAAAGGGGGAGGGACAGAAGAACAAGATCGGGGAGGGAGGAGGGCAGGTGCTGGTGACCAGCTGGGGTGGGCTTTTGGGTCAGCTGAGCTTGGGAAGAGCTCTGCTGGAAGGCTGGGCTGGAGTTAGTGGTGCAGAGGAAACGTCTCCCAGGCTGTACCTACGTAAGGGACCGATCATCTGGCACGCAGCTGTGGGAAGGAGCCGTGTTTGGCTGGGGAGGGAGCGAGGCTGACCAACAGCCCCATGCCTGGTGCTCCTCCTGGCGCTCCTGCATCTCCCTCAGCTGTCAGCAGCCATCTGTGAGCTGCCTCAACAAGATCTGCCTGATCCTCCTCTTGGGTTGGCTCACACTGAGCCCGGGCATCCACAGCTGGGCTGTTTATCAGTCACTTGACACAAGATGGGTGTTTTGCAGAGGCTTATGAGAGAGCCAGCGCCAGTAACTAACCTGTGTCAGCTTGACGTCTCAGGGTGGGTATTTTTTATAAATGCAAAGCAAGTTCAAGGAGCGTAGAGAGCTTCTGCACCAGATTACATGAGTTACGCTAAAAAAAGCTACCATGTTTGAAGATGAATTGGGTTTATTTTGTTTTCAAAAACTGGAATGATACTTACAAGTTGCACAGGCAGTCCTAAATCGTATGCCCTACCTCTTCTGCGTGTAGTTGTGGCCGTGTGTTGGCCTCTGCCTGGGATCATTTGCTTCATTCATTGCGAAGGGTGGGCTTGGCCTGAGCATGGACTGCAGTGCTGCAATCGGGGTGAACATCTAAGGCCACTGTGTAACTTTTTAAAAGGAGCTGGAAGTAAGTTAAATGTGTGATCAGGACAAAGGAGCTGAGTTTGTTTTGGTTGAAGCTGTTGGAGGCTTCCCTGCAAAACCAAGTTGTTTTTTTTTTTTTTTTTTTTTTTTTTTTTTTTTTTTTCCTTTTTATTGTTTTATTCCCCTGCCTGCTGTGTGCCATCAAGCAATCTGTTCGAGCCAACCTCTCCCGCTGGTCAGTGCTTCTATATTTGTCTTCAGTGCTCAAGTCCCAATTCTCAAGGCTGATTTCCAGAAGTGCTGAGCGCCAGCTGATGTGCTTTGGATAAAGTTCCTTAAAAAAAACACTCATCTCCTTGGAGGAGATCCCTAGATCCGAATTGCTACAGCTGGAGGACTACCAGCCTGGATCTCAGGGCAGTACCACGTGCGAGCATCCCCGAGTATTTCAGCAGCGGGCAGCATCTGGGCAGCCTCGTGGGGCCGGTTCCTGGGTGTGGGCCATCCTGCTCACCCCAGGAGGGGAGGCTTTGGGGACGGGGGCTGTGTGTGGGTGAGCAGTTACCCGGTGTGCGGACTTTGCCCGCTCAGCCCTCATTCTGGTGTTTCCAGAACGAGCTCAGATCTCCGCCTTTGCCCTTCTCCCCTCCTGTAGAGCTGGTGTTTGAACACCAGAGCTGTTGCTGCTTCCGAGCCCGGAGGCGTTTGCCCCGGAGACTCGAGCTGATCTCATTTTTTAGCAGCTTCAGCGCTGGCACAGAACAACCGGGCACAGAGGCTCCTCACAGCTGGCGTGAAAACCGAACCGCTCCAGCTGTAAACGAGATGAGAAAAATCGTGTATGCCTGGCTGTGTTCCCAGAGCAGCGATGGGTTTCCCTGACAGAGGCAAATTATTAGAGGTGCCTTTTGTGTTTGGCTCCAGCCGTGCTGGACCTGGGCGCGTGGTTTGAGCTTGGCCTTGCAGCTGGTCGGAGCTGGGCTCCCCTGGAAAAAGCATCCTGGAAATTATCCTGGGGCTCTGGCCGAGGAGGTGTGTGTAAAACCCAGCGGGGCTGTCAGGTGGGTCCTTCGCCTGCCCTCCTGGCACATTTGTGCCCTCTCCCAGCTGCAAGCAGCTGGTGTAAAAGCTTTTCTGTGGCATGAAGTCACCCGTGTCTGGTCATACCTGAAGGGCCAGTCACCTCCTTCGCTCCATCACGAGCTTGGTAGCGTGACTCGAGGTGGGGAGCGCGTGCGGATGCTCACAGCGTCTGATGCACCCAGCTGTGGCGGGGGGCACTCGATGGGACGTTTCTCCCATCTCCCAGCACCGCCTCAGGTTTGAGGTAGGGCACACAGGCAAACCTCCACCCTTAGTTATTAGTTTAGGAAATAATTGGGTTCTCACCTCTGCCCTGTTCCCTCCAGTGCACTGACTGTCTGGAGAACCCGAGCTGGGTGTGATTCACGCCTTGACTCTCCCAGCACAGCTCCGTTCACGGGACCACGTTTGCTGTGGATTAATGCACCTGAAATCAGCCACGGCAGGGCAATGCGTGCTGACACAAATTTGTTAAGCTGCGTGGAGCTGGGGCCGTTATCCCTTCTGACAGCGAGGTCACCCTCGCCAAGGGCAGCAGCACCGAGCCCTGGGGAGCTGCTCCTGCCAGCGGGGAGCTGAGCCCGAGCTCTGAACAACTCGGGCTTGACAGAGCCCCTTCTCCTCCTGCACTGTCTTCATCTTCCTCGGCTGTGTCTGACTCTGATAAGGTCACTGGAGCTGCAGGATGGAGATCAAACCCCCCCTCTGGAGCCTGATTCACTCCCAGTACCGCAGTCACTCCTCTCCTCCAGCAGGGAGAGGAGTTCCCGGGAAGTAGGGCTGCGTTTAGCACCAACTGTGACGTGATGAAACTTCAACATCTATAGAAAATACACTTTTTTTTTTTTTTTTTTTAATGAGGTGGTACGGAGCAGTTCATACAAAAAGAGAAGAAAAATGGGTGCTCCCCACCCCTTGTTCGTAAAGCTCTGTGACAAACGGCCCGTGCCCCCCGGCTGGGAACACCAGGCTCAGGGCAGGGGCTGCTCACCCCGGATAACCACGGGCAGCCTCCCCGAGCAGGGCAGTGCTGCACCCGAGCTGCTCCTGCCGTGAATCCAGCAGGCAGGGGGAACCTCCTGCTCCTTCGGCAGGTCACACACGGCCCCGTCCTCGAGGCAAGCCCACGCCTGGAGATGTTTCTGGATCAGATACATGTCTGAGCCGTGCCGGCCACCCCTGCTGTCCCTGGAGCCGCAGGGAGTCACACAGGGCGTCCCCAAAGGTGCCCCTGCCTCCTGTCCTGCCGCAGCCCCGTCCCTCGCCGTGTCCCTGCCGCGGGCAGTGTCACCGCAGGAGCAGTGCCAGGGGCAGGAGGAGCAGCGTCAGAGAGGCGCAGAGCTCGGCAGCACCGCCGCAGTCCTGGGCGTTTTCCTGGGGGACAAGAGCAGACAAGGTATCAGCGTGCGTGCTGCCAGGGTGGCATGGTGCGAGTGCTCCCCTCGCTTTCGGGAGGGAGAGCAGGGGCTGCAGAAGCCATGGAGCACAGCCAGGAGGAAGGCGTGCTGAGGGCTGGTCTGAGGAAACCCAAAAGCCCACCACCACCTGAGCTCAAGCCCTGCTCAGGTGTCACTACTGTGATGTCCTCCTGCGAGGAAGGGGGATCCACCAGGCTGCGTCTCTGGACGGGCACACCATAGGCACGATGTGTGCAGGAACAGGGGACGTGTGTGCACAGCCGAGGTGCCTGGGGTCGAGGAAAGCCCAGCCCTGTGCTCTCCCACCTGCCGTACCTCGGGGTGAAACGCGTGGCACGTGTCCGGGCGCCGCCTCAGCTTCTGCGAGCGCATCCGGTCGCACTTCACCGAGGCATTGTGTGCGGGGTGGTTAAGGACACGGGCAGGGAAGAAGGAAGGGGCACAGAGACAGGGCCCTGGGGCATTTCCCCTGGGACAGGGGAGGACAGGGGCCAGGCGGCCACCTCCCAGCTACAAATGGCAAAATAGCACAGCTGGGCTCCAGCAGCAGGACTGTTGCCTCCTCTCCCTCACATCAGTTCCATTCCCCTGCCCGCCCTGGCTGGCCCACAAGCCGGGCCATGCCCTCCACCCCTTTCCCCGTGGGAATTACCACGCGTTTTTCCACCCCAGCCACCCCAGAGCCCCAGGGCATGCAGAAGGATATATTTGACTTCTTTCGCATCCAGCAGCACGGGTGGGAAGATGCTGCAGTCGCAGGCGGCATCCGTGACGAGGAGCAGCAGGTTGCTGCTGGCGATCTGCTGTGCCACGAACATCCTGTGGGGAAAAGAGAGCACCAGAGAAATCGCAGCCCCGGCATCGCCTGGCCCTGCTCACCCCAGCAAAGAAGGCCAAAGGAAACAGAGAAGCTTGGCAGGGAGGTGTCAGCAGAAGGCAGGGGAGGAGCAGCGCACACCTTGCTGTCCTCAGGAAGCACCCACCTGGCTCAGTACAACTCCACCCGGCAGAAAAGCCAAAATTGGAACCAAAACCCAACCAAAAAAAAAAAAAAAAAAGCAAAACCCAGCAGGGGCCCTCCCCAGGCACACCGGAGTGGGGCAGCCTGTCTCAGAGAAGTGCCTGAGAAGGCCTGGCTTCACGGGGAGCTGTGCCAGCACCCAGCCAGCGTGCATGTACACATGTGGCTGCAGCACGTGAGGCTGTGCGTGCTGAGCTCCTCAGGGGGCAGAGTTCTGCTAAATTCCTCATTATGTGAGTGATGACTGGAGGAGCTCAGTAACACCACGCATTACACC